TTTTTTTGTCCTTTTTCCTCAATCGCTGACCCTTCTTTTTTTTGTGTTGATCCCCTGGATTGAACAGCAGAAACGAGGACTACGACGACGACGAGGACGACGATGTCAAATGTAATCAGAAGCCGGCCTGCAGCAGCAGCAACAGCTATGGCGGGCACGAAGAAGATCGGAGTGCCACGTGGCAGCGGCAGTCCTTTGGCACCTGGAGCAGCTGCTGACGTGTCAGTCCCTTCCCTTCCCCCCTCCGCCGTGATCCATAATAACAGGAGGGTAGGCGATGACGTGGCAGGCAATGACTTCAACAAAAAGGGTCCGTCCGGCCGGCCGGTTGCGACAGCCAGCAAGGTCCCCAAGCGATCTATGGCCTCCGCCGCCGCAGCTGGAGTGCGCTTGTGGCTTCGCTTTGATTCTAATGGTGAGACACGTGTGTTGGAGGCGAACAAGTATGCGATCATGAGGAGGTTCGGGATCCCGGGTCGGGATCTGCGAATCTTGGACCCCTTCCTTGCGTATCCGTCGACTATCCTGGGGAGAGAGAAGGCCATAGTTGTGAACCTTGAACACATAAAGGCAATCATAACGGCAGAGGAGGTGCTGCTGCTGTTAACGAGTGGTAATGGTGAAGCAAACGGATCAAACGGAGCGAACGGAGCAAACGGAGCAAACGGAGCAAACGGAGCAAACGGAGCAAATGGAGCACACGGAGCAAATGGAGCAAACGGAGTAAATGGAGGAGGAGGGGTGATAACAGTGGCAAAGGGTGGGAAGGAGGAGAACAAGTTGGGGAGTTTAATCCAGGAGCTGAAGCGACGACTGCCAGTGGTCCAATCAGAAGGATTTAATGGGTATAACTCAAATGGCAGATCTGGGGAGATCAGTGATGGGGGGACTCCTAGGGCTGTCACAGCAGGAGCATCACCATCAGTAGTAGTACTAGGAGAGGGGGGGGTTACACTGTCGTCACTGTCGCCTGCACGAGGAGGAGGAGAGAAGACAGGTGGCAGTGGGTCTGGTGATGCAGGGGGAGGTCGGGATGGGAATGATCGGGAGGGATCGGGATCTGGGGGTGCTGTGAAGAAGGGTGAGGCTACTGGTAGTATTACTGCAGGTGGGCCAACGGGGAGCGATGGTGTATCGCTGCCAGCTAAGCTGCAGAGCACTAACGTAATGGCGAAGCATGTGCAAGACAGGAGTGAGATAGCAGCCGGGGGATTATCCCCTTCGCCGTTAGACTCCCCGAGATCCCCCAGGTCCTATACGTCCTCCCCACTCGGGTTCACTCACAGGAGGAATTGGGAGTCTTCCGAATTGACAAGAGCAGCAGCAGCAGCAGGAGGAGGAGGAGGAGGATTGCCATCTTCATCTGCTCTGGAGTATGGATACTTGTCGGAAGACCATAGTACGGGAGGGGTAGGAGGAGGAGGAGGAGGAGGAGGAGGAGGAGGAGGAGGAGGACCGAGCCTTTTGCCGTTTGAGTTCAGGGCCCTGGAAGTGTGTCTGGAAGCGGTGTGTGGCCATTTAGAAGCGGAGGTTAAGAAGTTAGAACACACAGCTTATCCGGCAATTGATGAGTTGACGGCGAATGTGAGTACAATGAACCTGGAGAGGGTGAGGCAGATAAAGCAGCGGCACGTCGTCATCTCAGGCAGGGTGCAAAAGGTGCGAGACGAAATCGAACAACTGCTTGATGATGACGGAGATATGGCGTCCATGTATCTGACCGACAAGCTGCATCGAGCGCAGATGCTCGTGTCGCCCTCCTCCTCCTCCTCCCCAGACAGGCACTTCAGGTCTTCTCCTCCCCCACCTTCCATTCCTTCTCGTCGAACAGGAAGTGGAGCCGTAGCTGGAGGAGGAGGAGGAGGGCTAGCTGCACCGTCAAGTTATGTTGTCCAGGGTGTTCGTTTTGCTGATCAGGATGACCAGAGATCCCAACTGTCTGGGAACCAGGGAGGAGGAGGAGGAGCAGGGGGAAGGGCGTCATCGGTAAGTGAGGAGAGGGGGAGGAGGGAAGGAGGAGGAGGGTGGGGTGGTGTTGCGCCTGCAGCAACGCCTGCTGCAATGCCTGCTGGGACTGCAGGGCCGGCAGCAAGGGGGGCAGCCGTGGCATTCCTGCCTTCTGATTTGACAGGGCCCAACACCTCGCGGAGCAATCCTGATGTGGCTTTGCCTGTGCCGGAAAGTGGTGGTGGTGTTCACAGTGGAAGAGTTGGAGGAGGCGGCGGCGATGGGAGCGAAGGGCCTCTTCGGTCAGCCGCAGGAGGCGGCGGAGGAAGAGGAGGGGGTGGCGCTGTGCGAGCCTCTACGAGCGCCTTTCCTGGTGACTTCACTGTTGCCGCAAATGGAGTGGGAGAGGGAGGAGGAGGGGTGGTGAGAGGTGTGACAGCAGCAGTAGCAGCAGCAGAAGAAGGAGGAGGAGGAGGAGGAGGGGTATCGACGAGGTTGGGACTGGCTGGCCCACCTCAGCTCGTGTCAGCAATGAGGAGAGAGGGGAATACTGGAGATAAGATGGTGGCTGAGGAGGAGGCAGAGGTGATAGATGAAGCAGCTGATGAGGACAAGCAGTCTTCTAGCAGCAGCAGCAGCAGCAGCAGTAGCAGCAGCAGCTCCAATGGGACCATCAAACTCGACGTGGAGGAGCTTGAGATGCTTCTAGAAGCCTATTTTGTCCAAGTGGACGGCCTTCTCAGCAAGTTGTCCACCTTGAGAGAATATGTTGACGACACCGAGGATTACATCAACATCATGCTCGACGACAAACAAAATCATTTGCTGCAGATGGGTGTGCTTCTCACAACCGCAACCTTCATGCTCAGTATGGTAGTTGCCATAGCTGCTGTGTTTGGCATGAATTTGCCCTCTCCGCTGTTTGAAGAGACCAAAGCAGCCAGAAGGTCTTTTTACGCTATTGTTTTGGGGTCCACTCTAGCAGCCGTAATTGCCTATTTTATTGTGATTGGTTATCTTAGAGTAAAGAGGCTCATAGTGTAACCTACTAAGGCTTTCGGCTTTAGGGGGGAAAAAAAGAAAAAGAGGAATAGAGGTATCTTCTTTACTCTAGCAGCAGTAGTTAGGCCTATTTTATTGTGTGTGTGTGTTTTTTTTTTTTTTTAGCAGTCCTGGGTGTTTCCTTCTTTTTTTTTTTTTTTGTATCTATTTTCCCCCAATGTGCATATTCTCTTCTTCCTTCTCCCTCCCCCCCCCCCGCTCCTGTGTCTTTCACTGTGCTCCTCTCACCTCGTTGTGCATTTGTCGACGGCGACTTGATGCCTATGTGCACGTGTGTGTGTGTGTGTGTGTGTGTGTGTGTGTGTGTGTGTGTGTGTGTGTCTGTGCTGTCATGTTTGTTATACATAACTTTCTGCATTCGTTAACTTCTCGTTTTTTTTTTATTTTTATTTTTTTTCCTCTTTTGCGTGTGTGTGT